CGTAGAAGTTTAAATCTCTGGAAAGCGTTTTAACAAAAGATGGAAAATCTGGCACTGAAATCAAATCTCGCATTGAACTAGCGAAAGAAGTATTCCAAAAGCTAAGCAAATATTCTGAGAAACGGAAAAAAATCGTCAAAAGCGAAGAAAAGAGAGCTGGATTGCTGTTTGATATCAACCCGCTGATATGCCAGTGAGAGTCAGAAAATTTCCCTAAGGATGAAGAAAAACTAGAAGTAGCAGAAATGTCCCCAGTAGATAAAAGCGGTGGTTGAATTAATCCAGTGACTTGAGTTGTGAGTTCAATACCTGGCCAAAGCCGAGCTGAAAAACTTGAAGAGTTGAGTTACGAAAGGGAAATGACGGAAACTGATATATCCAAAAAAAAAAATGCATGGCACGTGGAATTAGAATAATCTACCCAGTGGGCGAAATAAAGGGTTCAGTTCAAAATTCCAACGTATAAAGATAAGGACGACATTCCGAACAATGTAAATAGTGTAAACAGCAGAAATGTGGTCATACAGAAGTTATGTTGAAAATTTCATGGGCGGAGGGGGTAAGAAACAAGGACACTTTTGAGAAAATGTCAGCAGAAAGAACAGTCATGTTTAGAAAGAAGCAGCTGAAATTCGTTAGATACATAGTGAGGAAGAAGGGCTTGGAAAATTTAATCCTCACTAGGCATACTGAGGGAAAGAGGGGTAGGGGAAGGCGGTAGAACAGGTGTGCGAGAGGGAGAAAAACTAAGAACCACACCGGATAGGTAGTTGTGTCCTGATGCAGCGCATAGTACTAGTAGTAGTAGTAGTAGTATTTCTGCAGTTACATTTTCAGAGCAGATATTTACCTGTTGTCATTCGACACCAAGTAAGAAGAAAATCCAAAAATCTACGCAGTCAGTTATGTCCCATGCGTGATACACGCTCAGGCGATCATGTATCTTTCCATGCATGACTGACGAGGCAATTTTTATGAAGTAAATTGCCATTTCTTTCTGTAGTAGACCAGTTGCCATCCAAGGCTATGGAACCAGGTCTGCCCTGGACTCTTCTCACCCCACAGCTAAAGAGAATTCATACCTTTACCCCAGTGTATTAGCATGTAAATGAATGTAATACATTTGATCAGAATTCGAACTCGGCTCTCCGATTCCTCAATCCATGCCGCTATCCATTACTCCACTGTGCCTCCTCTTCTACAGTCGATAGCATCCTATTTCATTCTTATAATTAGTCAAGGAAATATGAAAAATAAGCTTAAAGGTTAAACTATATATTTGAAGAATATTTATGAAAGAAATGTTCCTTTTAATTGAGAATAAAAATCATTTATTTCCATTAATAGCCAGAAGTTTTCCTCAAATTTAAATATTATCAGACAAATAATAAAACATTCGCACCTGTTATCAAAATCAGTCAATTGTTCATTTGATATGCGTTTTATGTAAAACAAAATATAAATGAAATCCTTATGTAGCCGCGAAACAAGTTTGATTGACACATATAGTAATTTCCTTGAACTTGTAGAGAGTTTTCATAGATAAAAGCCAGGAAGAGAAAAATTCCTTCCCAAAGACTTATTGATTTAAGTCTGATTAAATTATAAGCAACAAACCAATTGCATATAAGCAGTATGAACAGAAAATAGATTTAGATAAATCTGACAAATAAGAATAAAATGAAAGAGAAATGCATTAATTGAAGGACGTTATTAAGCCTGCTTTCTACTTACCTAATAATATATATTACCAGTTAATTAATTAGAAAGCAAATAAAATTCTATCTGTTGAATACAGGTACGGGATGGGTGGAAGTTATTATATTGAGGAGATCCGATTAGGAAACTTAAGAATCTTACAACTGATGTAGAAATTTGTCAAAGCTAATGAGGAATATGGTGTGGAACCACTTAAAAACAAAATTTATTTGGAGTAATCTTTCAGTATAGGTTTCTTGGTATATGCATTACATTAAGCAACTAACTCGTCTTAAGAACTAAATGAATAAAATTATGCTATCTACTCGTCTCGTTGGCTTAATCTCATTTTACATTTGTATGTATTTTTTATTATTTCAAATGCATAGGAAAATTAAAATATTATTTCCTCTTCACGACATTGCTTTAATTGTCTTAATTTACTTATATATATATATATATATATATATATATATATATATATATATATATATATATATATATATATATATATATATATATATATATATATATATATATGATGAATATTATATATATATATAAATATATATATAAATATATATATGGATGATGAATATATATATATATATATATATATATACACACACATATATATATATATATATATATATATATATATATGGATGACAATTTTATACATATATGTATATATATATATGAATGATGAATATTATATACATATATATATATATATATATATATATTGATGATGCATATTATATATATATATATGGATGATATATATATATATATATATATATATATATATATATATATATGATGATATTAATAATATTAATAATATATATATTATATAATATATATATATATATATATATATATATATATGATATATATATATATATATATATATATATATATATATATATATATATGATATATATATATATATATATATATATATATATATATATATATATATATATATATATATATGGCCTGTTGCATCTAGCATGAAAAGACAGTCGCCTCTAAGTGTTGACTTCTATGTTATAGGTCCAATTTAATTTTGAAGATGTTAGCCAAATTTGCTTGGGTTATATAACTAAAAAACCCAGAGGTATAAATTAGGATGTTACAATTTTACTTATAATTCCCTTTCAAATTAGCTACCTCACTGACCACATATAAAATGCAAGGGATTTCTGTATTTGGTTCGTAGGATTTGCTTTATAAAAAGCCTTTATATATATATATATATATATATATATATATATATATATATATATATATATATGAAATGGACAAAGTCAGACAATTATTCAAGATTTTTATGTTTATACATTCTTTTTATAGATACAAATATTTAATTAAATACACTGTTTATAATAAACTATAATATAAACTGTTTATTATAAACAGAGCATTTACTTAAATATTTGTATCTATAAAAAGAATGTTTAAATATAAAAATGTCTTAAAATAATTGTCGGACTTTGTCCATTACATAATGTGTAACGTCAATTGTTTACATTTGATACGCCATGAGCAGATATGAATGTACGTGAGAGATTCATGGAAGATTGAATTTTAAAGACAGTAAATTCGACCTTGTTAACCGAACGCTACTCTGTGGCCAAATTGATTAAAAGCACATGAAGCTAAATGACGATTCCGTATAGGATACAGGTTCGAGTCCTGTCGGAGGACGAATATTTTCAGTGAAAATTTCTCGGACATTCAGGCCGGTAAATGTTGTTTAATACTGTTTATTATAAACAGAGCATTTACTTAAATGTTTGTATCTATAAAAAGAAAGTATAAACATAAAAATGTCTTAAAATATATGTATATATATATATATAGTCACAGTCAGGGGAGTGATCACTTTAAACAAAAGGGAGAGGAAGCGCAAGAATACAAAAATTACACACCTTTTCGTAAAACCTCGGTGGAAAAACGACAAAAAGTGCAAACCAATTATATCACCTCCTTCTTCAGAAACAATCGATGACAAACATAAAATATGTACACAATAACTATAATATTTGAGACAAAGACTACAAAAGAATCAGCAGTATAACTCACAGACAGATTACATTTTAGCCAGAAAGTCATTTCTTCTGCTTGCAGAGATTAGGATTCCAAGATTTAATATAAATATTATCAAGAATTATCAAATGAAATTCCGAATGTGCTCCGATGATTGCTCTAAAAACATTTCTGCTGAGGTACGAATTACAAGTCGAATTATATTTTAAATATACTGAAGTTGCAGAACTAGAAGTATTAAAAGCGTGCACATTTTTCATACGGCCCTCAAAGGATCTTAGCTGTTTTAATAACGTAAGTTTGCAGACGCCATGAAATATTTTGAGCAGGAGGGACCCAAACAAATTTATTAGTTTCCCAACTCTTTTACATACTGTTGTGATTTCGCATTTCCATCTCCTTAAAAGATTTTGGAAGGATGGGCATCAAGAGTTCAATTCCTTGAAAATGACCCAGAACCGCAAAATATTACAAAAAGTATGTCTTATTATGTTGAATACAAAAACATTTTTTCGTAAATTACTTGCATGAAGCGAATAGAAATAAAATAGGTTCAAATATTTATGTGAAGTAATGTTTGAAGGGTTGATGAAAATATTACGGCCGTTATCATTACTCCAAACCTGACCAAATATATATGCACGCCCTCAGATATCAAAACAGATACATTGATAATGGAAAGACAGGGCTAGATAGGTACACAGATAGATAATGACAAGACGGTGTTAGATAGATACATATATAATGACAAAACGAAGGTAAATAGACACATAGATAGATAATGACAAGACGGAGTTAGCTAGACACATAGATATATAACGACAAGGCGAACGTAGATAGACACATATATAGATAATGACAAGACATAGAGAGACAGACAATGATAATACAGACACAGACAGACAGACAAGGATAATACAGACAGACAATGATAATACGGACACAGACAGACAATGGTAATACGGACACAGACAGTCAGACAATGATAATACGTACACAGACAGTCAGACAATGATAATACGTACACAGACAGACAGACAATGATAATACGGACACAGACAGACAATGATAATACGAACACAGACGGACAATGATAATACGTACACAGACAGACAGACAATGATAATACGGACACAGACAGACAATGGTAATACGGACACAGACAGTCCGACAATGATAATACGAACACAGACAGACAATGGTAATACGGACACAGACAGTCAGACAATGATAATACGGACACAGACAGATCGACAATGATAATACGAACACAGACAGACAATGATAATACGGACACAGACAGTCAGACAATGATAATACGGACACAGACAGATCGACAATGATAATACGAACACAGACAGACAATGATAATACGAACACGGACAGACAATGATAATACGGACACAGATAGACAGACAGTGAAAATACGAACACAGACAGACCGACAATGATAATACAGACACAGGCAGACAGAGAATATTACGAACACTGACAGACAGACAATGATAATACGAATACAGACAGACAGACAGGCAATGATAATACGAACGCAGGCAGACAGACAATAATACGAATACTGACAGACAGACAATGATAATACGAACACAGACAGGCAGACAATGATAATACGGATACAGATAGATAATGCCAAAAGATAGATAGATAGATAGATAGATAGATAGATAGATAGATAGATAGATAGATAGATAGATAGATAGATTGATTGATAGATAGATATAAGAGAAAAAGGCCTAGAAGTGTAAGAATAACATTAAAAGGATTTTGTATAGAAATATTTTATTTTTCTATGATTTGTGAATATATTATTTCTGATGTTTGGTTTACCGAACTGATTACCATAATCTATTTAACATCTTTTTTTTCAGTTTAACATCTCCCTTATCAGCACAAATCCGATAGACTTCAAAATTCGTCGACGTTTTTTGTTTTCACGTGGGAAATATTTCCTAAGAGGTTGCTGTCGATATTTAACATGATCTCAAGCGTTATATCTTTTAACTTTCTTTGACATTTTACAATAAATAGACGTCGGATTCAGATAAAATAATAAAATAAAAAAGATTAATATTCCTCGTCTCAATAACTGATATATGTCTCTGTAAAATATATAAATATCGCATTCGATAGCCTATAAGGATAAATTTCAAAGAAATCATAAACACCTTGCAAAGCACGGATTTTACAAACAAGTGACGGAAGAACATAGAATGCTAAAGTCTTAAGAGGTTTTATCAATGATACACTGGGTTGAAAGCATGGAATTTGCAAACAGGAATCTGACGAAATTAAATTATAGTGATCAAAAAACCAATGACGGTGATTTAAAAAAAAGCAACTGATTTTTGTAAGCAAAGTGGTTAAAAGAAAGGCTATAAGTTGTAAATAAATTTTGAGTACAAATCTTTATTAGCCATAAAAATGAATGCAGTGATATCATAATCTGCTGTTTCAGATAACCACGGTGAAAACGGAAGATATTCACTTGCTCATCTTAGTAATCGTCCCAAAGTCATGGTTAACGATACCGCCAATTCGGATAAACCAAAAAGAAGTTGTAAAGCATGTCCTTTAACTGAAATAACTAAATTTATCGACTAATTTAAGAGAAGATAGTATTATGTTGCTTAGATCTCCAGCAATAACGATTGGACTTATTAGACTAATATCTTTTATTACAGTATCCCGTAATAAATTTTCTGTTTTAGTTTTGGTCAGGTTTGGAGTAATGATAAGGGCCGTGAAATTTTCATCAACCCTTCAGACATTACTTCACATAAATATTTGAACATATTTTATTTCTATTCACTTCATGCAAGTAATTTACGAAAAAATATTTTTGTAATCAACATAATCTTACTTATTATAAAACGCAGATTGTGTGTGTGTGTGTGTGTGTGTGTGTGTGTGTGTGTCTGTACGTTTATATATTGGATCGGATTTCCTACATTTTTCAACCGATTTCAACAAAACTTCACAGGACTGCGTAAAATTACCTTGCGATGGTTCTGACAGCGCCAAAAATTGGAAAAACACAATTGTTTTCGCATGAAATCAATTTGAAAACACCATAAAACACGATTCGGTCGCCAGAATGAAAGGGGGACAACTCATATCGAGTTATACTTATTAAAAAACCCAGGTTGTTTGTGTGTGTGTGTTCATTTATATATGGGATCGGGTTTCCTACATTTTTCAACCGATTTCAACAAAACTTCACTTTTTTTTGGCAGGTAGTGTTTCTTATTGTCTTGCACACTTTTTTCTTTATTTTTACATTCAGAATGCTTTAAAAATTCCATTTACAAGACAATTGTTTATAATAAAATTCTATTCAATCGATAGACTCATAACGATTGAAAACAATGTTTTTGTTTGAGTTTGGGTTTGACCAATTCGTAAAAAAAAAACAAAAACAAAAAATAATTAAGACATGCGTGTTCATCAACCTTAAACAATAATCTTTGTCAATTTTATTTTTCAGTCTTTATGATGGTCGATACTTGATCTATCTCTTACTGTTACATCCCTGGGCAACGCCGGGCTCTCCTGCTAGTAAGATATACTTTTTGTAATATTTTGCGGTTCTGGATGATAAATTTCATTTTCAAAGTACTGAACTCTTGAAAAAATGTCCATCCTTCGAAAATCTTTTAAGCAGATGGAAATGCGAAATCACAACAGTAATTAAAAGAGTTGAGAAACTAATAAATTTGTTTGGGTCCCTCTTGCTCAAAATATTTCATGGCGTCTGCAAACTTACGTTATTAAAAACAGCTAAGATCCTTTGAGGGCCGTATGAAAAATGTGCACGCTTTTAATACTTCTAGTTCTGCAACTTCAGAACATTTAAAATATAATTCGACTTGTAAGAAGAGGTGAAGGAAGCAAGGCCTCTACCTAACGAGCTTTTCAGAGTGGATGACGGGACGGGTGCATAAGTAAAGGAAGAAAAACTGCTAAGGGAACAAAGGTATAGGAAGTGTTGGAGGGCTATGATCGCACATGTTCTGAAAGATCGCGACACATAGAAGAAGAAGAGATAGCGTTGTGTATCACCCGGTCTACACTCCTCCCCGATTTTCTGAACAGGAATAGAGATTTATCACTTGTTTTCTGTTTAGAATTAGTTTTTCGACTCCTCCTAAAGCTATTTCCATCTCTTTTTTTTCCGTTGGCCCCTTGCGATTAGGTGGCATTATCACATTGCTTGGGGTAGTATTGTTTATTGTGTAACAATTTAAGTAGCTCTCGGGCCCTGTACAGGGAGTGAACATCATTGTAAAATCATGTAATGATAATGAATCATATAGCAATATTGCATTTAGTTGTACAGGGTGCGATGGGTAAATTGTCGCCATTTATATTTTTAATTTCGCGCAGGTGCGTTGTTTTTATTTTGTCAACTGCACAGTGGAGTAGTGTTGGTTGGGCGCTGTCTGTGAGTAAATGAGGACCATGACACAATTTGGAAACGGCATATTGTAATGCTTCCTGTTTGTGCCAGATGCACTAATACGACCATTTCAGAGTGGGTGTCAATCTGAGGCGAGTGCAGAGGATTCGGAAAGACAACTCTACTCAGATATATCCACTCAGCATCATGGTCTTTGGAGTGATGACTAGTGATAGAGACGTTATGCCTCGATTCATCTTCCTACATGGCCTCAGAATCAACACGGAGGCCATATATCAAGCGATTTGAGGAGGATGTGCTACCCTAGATCAAAAGGGTGGGTACTAGAAGAACTTATGTCTGGCAGCAGCACTCTGTACAATGCCACGCAAGTAGGAAAACCCAGTCATGAACCCAGCCAGAAAATTTCTACTACCACATCACCCCTTACATCTGGCCACATAAGCCCCCAGATTGTAACAACTTTGATTATGTGTGGGAAGCATCAGAAGTTCTTTTAATACCAAAAATGAAGTGAAGGCAAGGATTATGGAAGCATTCGCCAACTTAATCCCCGAAGAAGAGATTCAGGAGATTCCGAAGTCGCCTGGATGACTCCAATGGCGACCTTACTGAATACATTCACTCTTTAATATTTCAAGATATTTTTGTGTAATTTTGATAAAAAATATTTGTTGAAATGAGATATCAGTGCTATTTTAATGTTTACGTCATTTAGTCGACAATTTATCCATCGCACCCTCTATATAGTAAACATGTCAGTAATTAAATCTTAGCTTTTTTTTTTCACCAATTTATATGGAAATGGGTTAATTAAACTTAAATTCTTCACAAATCCGTGCGTACAATCAGTCTTATTAATTATACAGAAATCAAACATTAAAAGTGTTGTGATGTTTATTCCGTTGAATATGTGAGTGCAAAACGTAGAGCGCTGTTTACAAACTGCCTTGTCGAAAAAATAAGAGAAAAGTAGTTATTTCTTTTCTTTCTCTTCCGTTCTGTTCATTTCTGTCTGAATATACATTAAAAATATCTATCTTTTTTTTCGTCTACAAATCAGTCGACGTTGCACGGCGAACTAATTAATGTGCTTATACATCGATAAAGTTCAATACAAAAAATTAATCAATAATATTCAATAAATGCGACCGTACCGTGTATTAATTAGCGTAAAACATTTTAAACTCTCTTCCATTCACAGCAATTCTGTACTGGTTTAATATGTGATAAACTAGTCGCCATAGTAACGTTCTCAATGGCTGTAATCAGTCACGAGGCACCTGTTCGTCTTGTAAAAGAACGAACATGTCTATCTGTCTCTCCGTGATATTTGTTGCTTAGAGTGGTGTAATGGTCTCCCATTAAAAAGAGATTAGTTTTGGAAAAAGATAAGAGGATATGAATGATGGTGAGGGGGCGTCTCAAAATGTGCCGGGGTGTCACTGATTGTGGTTCAGTAGTCGAAAGCAAAGGCATATGCATCTTTTTTTTTTCTAATTGTTTTATATTTTTAGCGACAAAAAAAACCCCAAAAAAAACGTCACAGATTATGGTTTAGATTTTCATATTGTTCTTGATGTTTTTTTGTTTTCTTTTTTTTTTTTTAGAGACAAGGTCGAAAATGATATAATAAGTTAAAGTATTTTTGAAGTTCGTAAAAATTCACATTTGAAGAAAAATTCGACGAGGCTGAAAAATTCTCTGCCTACCCGCTTTCCAAAACTACCCAAGCGAATCACCAGGTTTGGAGGTGGTAGATCCTTTTTTGGGTTGAACGGAGAACATTTCAGTACACGTGACTATATATATATATATATATATATATATATATATATGATTATTATATATATATATAGATTTTTTGGGGATTTAGGCTAATCATATAGTAATTCGTCGAGCCTAGAATAATCCTCAACAGAAAGCACTGGAAGGCCGTTTCGTCCTATCTGGGACTCATCAGCTGTGCGCATCCACTACCGAGGATCGAACCCGATCCGTTTCGATACAACGCAACTGTACCACGGGGCTCGGTGACGAAGAAGAGGCACAAACTAGACTCGTAATGGGGCACCCAGTGAGGATCGAACTCACTAATCAGTCGTAATTGATCTAGCGAGACAAGCTTGCTAACCATTACACCACGGCGAGGTGCCTACATCAATTTATCTATATGCCAGTTATTGTTGGACGATTTTCACACTGATGGAGAGAAGACACGAGGCAACAGACGTTCTACAGAAAAATACTATGAATACGATGAATGGAGTATGTGAGCAAGTAGAAAGCTTTACGGCAAAGTACAACAAAAAGGACGCTTATATTTAGAATATGAAATAGACGAATTGGAATTTCTTGGACATAACAGTGGCGAAAGTCGGCTTGGAAAATTTGACATATGAACTGTGTATGGCTAGGAAAGAAACAAACGTTGCTGAGAGCTGCAAGAAAGGGGAAATTGTGGAGATTCTGATAGTACACATCCTAAAGTAAAACAGCACACAGAAGAATTATTTATTTCGTAAACTGTTTCTTTTGGAAGTGATTTATATCTCTGTAGGGAATGGAGTCTTTTTTTTTCACCCATATCCGCCAGCCTTATCCAGTGTTATTACTAAAACGTTAGCTAATTCCTCACTGGTCCGTCATATTTCCAGCCTTGTGCCAATATCTGCGCCCAGCTTATCAAATCAGAACTGTACTATCGAAGGTGACAATGGGTTTATAAAAGACAGTTTCTTAGAAACTCTGTGCATTCAGGAATGTTAAATGAGTATGTTAAAGCTTTCC